AAAAAAACTTGCAATGTAGGAGAAATTAAGGGCACCGCCAGATAGAAATTCTTTTCTGCGTCACAGGAATGCTTTTGACTGACAAGACGCACATAACATGGCAAGGCGGCACAATGGAAAACGTTGCCGCAAACAAAACGGCTCATTTTGAATGGCCAATATTCAGCTGGTGTGAATTCGTTCCACACAATTGTTGTTTTGCCGCATTGACGGGCGATTTTTATCAGTTGCGGCAATGCATGCGTTGCCAATTATACAGTATCGGTCATATCTATAGCACGCCATTTCAAAGTGATATTGTGTGCCACTTATGTCTATTTATTAATTTTTAAGAATTTTCAATTAAAATATAGTTCATTCTCAGACAAACCCGATACAAACCCAAGCTTAATAATTTGTAGAAAGCTACAAAAAAGTGCAACAAATTTTCACATAAATTTCAAACTTTTTTCTCGGAAGTGTTAGAATTTTTTTGAGTACACAGTTTTTTAGCCCCTTTAATTTTAGTCTGATAATGTGCAAATTTCAAGTGGCTACGAATTACCGTTAATTTTTTAGAATTTTTTTTGTCGCATTGGATTCCATATAATGAATAAACTCAATTTTTTTGTATATGGAAGAAATCCGCAACACCTTTGGCGAAGCTTTAACCAAAACTCCAACAGATGTTTCATAAAAATTTCAAACTTTTAATCTGAATCTTTAAAACCCATTTCGCGTTGTTTATATAGCAAGTGCAGTTCATAAAAACTGGCGTTGATTTTTTTACATTTTGTTGCGAACGGTCTCCCGCATTTTATTTCATAAGAAATTCATGCATTATGGAAAAAGTGCAAAAATCCATCAGCAAAAAAAGAAAATTAAAAATCAATGCGATTTTTAGCCGCTTCAAACTTGCACTTCATTAGTCAAAAATTGTAGAGGCTATATAACCTCATTCCCAAAATTTTCTAAAGATTCTGATTATTTATTATTATATTTATTATTATTAATGTATTCATTTTTAAAATTTAATGAAAATAAAAATTTCAAAGCATTAATTCTAAAAAATTTATAATTCTAATGAAATTTGTTCACATTAAATTATTCAAACTAGTGCTAATGAAAAATTTTAATGCATTAATTTTTTGAATAATTTTATTCGTTTGAATTATCAAACACCATAATTTTTTTTCTAGTGAAATATAAATAACCTCTTTTGGAAGAACTTCGAATAATTACTAATAGTTTTTCAGCTTCATTAGAAAAAGGCTTGTAAACATTGTTAGACGTATGTATGTAAACTCTACAGTTGGTATACAAAAAGAAAGATGGAAATACACCTATC